GTAACTATTTGGAAGTACCTCCACTTTGCAAAAATTACACCAAATGTTCATTTGCAAAAACTTGCAGCAAACCAAGCCAATGGCAGAGGAATTATATCAGAAGGCGACCTATAGTGATGGAAATTTTCAAACTTACTTGTGGTGACGCCTTCGCAGCTTAGATAAGAGAACAACTGCATCTTAGGACAGAGATTAGCAAGACCTCAAAATCGTGCCCTAAATCTTATAATTTGAAAAAAATTTTAGTTTTCATTTGCTGCACATAAATCAGAGAGGCCCATACTCCTAGACCATTAACTAGACTACGAAATAATTTAAACTTACCGATGTGTAGAAAAGTTATCCCGTTCACAATATCGATGAGGGCGCGCAGAACAAAAGTGAGATCTGAAGAGATGTGCAGGGAATCGGTTGCCGAATTCAGCTGCATATAATTGAAGAATGAGCCCCAAGGGTAAAATTCACTAATGATAAAGGCGCAAAAATTGTTGCCGATGGTAGAGCTGGTCATTGAAGGTGTCACTGTGCAGTGTCGAAGGTCCGCAAGCGTGCATACGTCGGCGGCTTTAATGCCACTGAGAGAGGCGTGCCGAAGGACAAACTTTTCATGAAGGTGGGTAAGACGCTTCCACAACATCAGCGACATCAATGGACTGACGGGAAGTAGAAAGCGCACACCCACTATCTCATCTTCGTATTTAGCTGAGAGAGGAAGGAATTCATACGTAATTCTGATCTTAAAACTAATGAGAAAAAACAGGAGTATACATTTATTGAAAAATCTCGAGGCTTTCACTGCTCCTTTGCAAACAAAGGTAAACGCTACTGAAAAAAATCGATGAGAATGAATTAACTTTGGAAAGTAAGAGGGTCAAGGGTGATGACGAGATCCATACATCTAAGAATTTAAAACAACTAGGAATGTGAGTGCAATATTGTGCACTTAACTACTGATATTTGTGACTAGTCTCTTAGACGTTTAAAAAGGTGACCAAAGCCCTGATCAATGCTCTGAGTTCCGCTGCACGCCAAAGATACACGTTCTGTTTAAGCATTACACCTCAGTTCGCCTATAGAAAAGCCAAGGGGAGCAATATAATACTGATGTTAAAATTGAGCATTACAAAGAACTAGTCTCGTTACTTAGAAAGAATTTAATCACAGGAAGTCATATGTTGTAGATTCCGAACAATGGAATAGTTTATTAGAGGTTTAATTGTGCTTTGAGTTAATCCTAATAAATGCGGCAATAAAATGCAATAAAATGGATATATGACGTGTATAATCATCTTAGATGATGCATAAAAGAAGCAAAACAAGATGCCAGCAGCTTTTGCAGTCACATAGAACAATTTCTATGCATGTAAAAGACAAACCTGATATGACTTCAGAAAATCGATCCCGCGAGGACAAAGTCAAGAATTCCAGCTTATGAACGAGTGTTTGGCCATTAAAAGTATTATTTTGGATGAATTGAGAAGAAAAGAATGTTTGGCTATCTTGCAAGTGTGTTGAATTTGTCGATGCAGCAGAGGAGCCATTCGAAACAAAATTCGTATAGGGCGAAGGGAGGCAGTATTCCAAGGAACATCGTTTATTTTCTTTTGGTTTTTGATAGAAATAATTAGAAAAGAGCAAGAAAGACACAAGTCTGACGACAATGAGCACCAATACCACGCCACCTAAAATGATCATGGGAATGTAGGGAGACAATCTATGCCTTAACATGAGACCAGTCGAAGGGTTATTCGATTCAAAGGAGTCAGGAATATGATTGTTCATTTCGAGAACCGAGTGCGATTTCATTAAAAACTCTGGTCCCAGTTGAATGGAAGATGCAAGAGGCACTGATTTTAAAGCGAAGTCCTTAATATTTGAATCTTCGAAATCAAAGGTTTGGCTATGGGCATTCTCACTACTGCTGGTACCATTATATGGCCTCTTAATAGTTGAACTTTGAATTCTTAAATAGTAATTACATGCACTACTTTCCTTGCAACATAAAAATAATGAAGTCGTAAAAAGACTTAAGGGCTGGTCAGAGCACATGAAAAGCAAGAATGGGGAAAAATGAAGGCAACCGTATTTGAAGGAACCGTCTTGATTGAAATCCATTTGGTGTGGCGGACGAGATTTATCTTCCAGAAGAGACCAATGAAAGTTTTTCATATTAGCCGTTGTGTCGTCTGGCTTTTCAAAAGAGGCGTAGCAATAACCTCGGACCGGCGCAATACAAAACCTAATTTCACTTGGCAGGTTGAACAGAGAATTCATGGTTCGGTTATGAAAACAATGCCTATTGTCATTGCAAACGCATACCAAATTTTTTGTCACAGTCATCGAGTAAAATGAAGCCTAATACTCAAGTCTTTAGAAGGAAAGGAAAAATGACATTAATCCTTTAGGAATAAGCCAACTTTATTATGCTTATGATATCGCGCAAAATGCCCTTGAAACCAACGCGACTAAACAATAAATTTTTTGTCATTTGCGCAAAATAAAAAACTTTTTAATAAAATGAGTTTAAAAATTAAGTGCTTAACCATTGCGCAATATTTTTTAAAAATTTGCTGTTGATTAGATGATTTATTGATTAAAGTCTACTACACATTTAATTTTTAAGAACAAAAAAGGCCTTTATTATAGCTATGAGGTAGGATAAATGAAAATACTTTAATACTGCAGCATTAACTACATTAAGTTATTTCAGAATCCCCCATTAAATTAGTGACGTTTTTCGAAACACCTGTTGAGATATGCACGCTTTTTGCGATGCAATATCTAACACTTTGTGTCAGGCAAAATGGATTTCGCTTACTACATGACACCATTTATTTAATTCTTAGACCTGCCTTCGCCTTTAATGTGATTGGTGTCTACTGCCTTCTGTTTTGGTTGGTTTAGATTTCTGCTTGTCGTTCGAATAGTGGTTTTGATGCGGGGGTATATTGATCTCTGCAGTTTCTCAAATGGATAACTACGTTCGGAATACATTGTTTAGCCTTCTGGGCGCGCAAGAAGTAATTATACTTGTGAGATTACTTTTTAATAGAAAAATTCTCGAGAGTTTCGTATCGCCGAGCTTTGCTTTGATGCTCATGACTATCGCAGGGCTCGAAAGTATCCTCGCATATTGTTTCACGTTTAGGTACCTTGATGACTTTCTTTCCGTAGAAAAAAATTGTTCACCAGGATTCCAGCTCCTTGGTCAAATCTTGGAGGCTCAATGTGATGTTCCTGGTGCAGTTGAGGCCTATCGGCGAGCCTACGAACTGGATCATTCAAATACACAACTCATTTTGAAAGGTATGACATGTTCCTAATCTTTCATAATTCTTTATAGTCCGTGATCTAGTTTTAAAACATAACCTCCCACTGGATGCTTGCAAAGTAATTTTCTTACCTCCTCTGTTTCTCTAGAAGTTTCCCAATATAGCGAAGATTCTGTCGCCTTCCTTACCGCTTTCTAAAAGTATTTATCAGCACATTGAAGCTACTAAGGATGTAAGTGCTTTAGTCATTATGTTTTTTGTAGCTGTCGATATCTCTGGAACAGCGTATCTCACTCCTAAGAAATTTCTCTTCTCGACAAGAGTACGATGAGGCTTTTGATTTATGCGTGAAGACTATTAACGAGGCTGTATGTATTGACAGAGCTGCATGGTACAATGCTGTACTGGACTTCATTTCGGTATTGTGGCGTGTTTAGTTTACCTTCCTTAAGCGTGCATCAGTTTCATGTCATATGCACTCCTGGTACAACCATATTGACACATTGTGGGGTTTCGCTTTGGTTGAAGTTATTCGCCTTAC